AGCAACATGTAGATTATCACTTGGAGATCCAGGTTTGTCAGATAAAGTTTCATTAGGCACCATCATCGGTTCTAACTGTTATGGTGCCTCAGGTGCGAGGTATTCTTTAGACTTTGATTTTGGCCTTCTTGAGCAAACAAATGTTTCCTTATCGCTTTGTTTATTTGCATCTCCTGTATTGTCAAATTTAGCAGTAAAGGTACGAAAAGTTGTGAATAGAGCTTTATAAGACATGAATTTTGAGATAGGATGAAGAGTACATGACATCGTTGGTTTTCTGAGAGCAACATGTAGATTATCACTTGGAGATCCAGGTTTGTCAGATAAAGTTTCATTAGGCACCATCATCGGTTCTAACTGTTATGGTGCCTCAGGTGCGAGGTATTCTTTAGACTTTGATTTTGGCCTTCTTGAGCAAACAAATGTTTCCTTATCGCTTTGTTTATTTGCATCTCCCCCTAATTTCAAGTTTTCTTCTGTACATGGCATATTAGACGTGACAAGTTCAGTAGATGTTGGCTCAGGGAGGAAGTGATCAAAATTGAAGAATTCGTTAAAAAGGCGATGTTCACTCAAATTCTTCCCCTGAAGAGAGGGCTTTTTGAAGTAGGATGTATTTTCAAAGAATGTAACATTAAGACTAACAATGGTGAAAGTGGACGTGGGCAAAGGCCATGCAACCAAACACTTTCGAAGACAAATCAAAGTTAAGACGGGAGACTGAGAAGTGTTCTTGGAATTTTCAGAGGCGTGAATAAAAGGATAAAGTACGACTGGGCATGCTATTGATGAGATATGTGGCTATCAAAATGGCACTTCCCCAGAATAGTTTAGGCATGTTAGAATAGTTTGGCATGTTTGTAGTAAACATTAAGGCTCGAACGACTTCAAGGAGATGCCTATTTTTTCGTTCTGCGATCCCATTTTGTTGAGAGGTATTGGCACAAGAGGTTTGGTGAATGATCCCATGTTCTCGTAGATAGTCTTGTAGGGTAGTATTGAAGTATTTTGTGCCATTATCAATGCGTAAAATTTGAATGTGTGTCTGAAACTGTGTTTGAATTATGGAATGAAAATTGACAAACACGGAGCGGACGTCAAATTTTTCTTTTAGGAGATAGAGCCAACAGACTCGAGTATGATCGTCGATAAATGTGATAAAACATCTAGTGTATATGGGATTAGGGATTCGGGAAGTCCCCATAAGTCACTGTGAATTATAGTGAATGGTTTTGATGGTTTGTGTGTGAACCTTGAATAAAAGGTACGCTAGTGTTTTGCAAGTACACAATTTTCATACTGAAAATCAGCAGATGTTTTATTAATGAAGATTGAAGGGATTACATGTCACAAATAATGAAAATTAAGTTGGCCTAGTCTATAATGTCATAACAAAATTTTACTATCCCTAGAGACAGATGTAGAATCACAAATCGCAATTTGAGATTGTTTACTCACATCAATTTCGTTAAAGTAGTACAGCCCTTTACACTCTTTAGCATTGACAATCGTCTTCTCCGATGGGAAGTCCTGAAACACACATTGAGACAGAAGAAATTCTACAAGGCAAGTAGAATCTTTGGTTAATTTACTAATAGATAACAAATTACAAAACAACTTTGGAACTTGCAAGACAGATTTTAGTATTATAAAGTTAGATATTTTGACACTCCCTTTTCCTGCAACAGATAAGAGAAAGCAGTCTACAATTTTTACTTTGATATTGCTAGCACAGGGTGAGTACGAAGAAAAAAGATGGCATGAGTCCGTCATGTAATCGGACACAGTTGAGTCAATGATCCAGTGGGTTTTAAATTTCGAGACTATATATAAAGCTTTTAAAAAATTACCTTTAGGGACTAGGGAGCTGGAAGAACTATTGGTAGAGGGCTGACAAAATTTTGGAAAATAGAAAATATTTAATAGAGTTATTTTAGTTGTTGAGGGTTGAAAGCACCATTTTAAGTAGGATTTATTTTTGTCTCTGCTTGGTATCCCTTGCTTCTAATGTTTTGTTTTGGCTTCCAATCGACGAGTTTCCCGTGTAAGTCCCAACAGGTATTCTCTTTGTGTCCCAATTTATGACAGTGTTCACATCATGGCCTACCACGCTGCTATGCGTTGGCCCAAAAGAAATTTCCTTTCCACTAACTGGGCTATTACTTGCAGGCCTAAACATCCTCTCTATTGTTGGCACAAATCTCCTCCCTGCAGCTAGTCCATTTCTCTTTGAAGACAACAGGGCTGACGCTTCACTTGGGATGTGGGGGTTTTCATCCAATATTATCTACCGTTGTGTCTTTTCTCGTCAGACCTCTGAGAAGACTTCGCGAATGGATGGAAGGGACCATCAATCCAGAATTCGGCCTTTGACATCATCCAATTCGCGATTAAGTGCGACCAAGAATTCATAAACTCTTTCATTCTCGATTCTCTTCTTATACAAAGCAATCGTCGACGCATCTCTACTCTTTATCGTTGCTAAGGTCAAATTCCTGCCATAGAGATGTCATCTCCATGAAGTAGTCCGTCACATCCCTTGCACTTTGCCTTGCTTGCCATAATCTTGTATTGATTTTGAAGACATGTGAAGCATTTTCGGAGTCAAAATAGGTCTCTCTCACGACTTCCAAACTTCCTTTGCAGTTGGAAAGAATGAGTAAGACTTCTCTATGGTGGGTTTCTTGGTATTGACAAGCCAAGTAGTGACCATGGAGTTCTCCGATATCCACTTCTACAGGAGGTTGGCTTCAGTCGGTTCTTCGTTTCGTTGGTAAGATAACCGAGTTTCCCATTTCCGTCAATCACCAATTTAACTGACTGGGCCGACCCATGATAATTTTCCTGTTCAACTTCTTGACTGAGTTGAAACAAGGAGTTTTCAATCCCATTAGAACCAATTATGGGAGAGTTTTCTGTTTCAACTTGAGGGGTGTCGAAGGTGACTGACCCCATGTTGTTGACGGGAAGTTCTACCAAGAATTGCTAGTTGTATGAACCTAGCTCTAATACCATGAAAACTGAGGCTAGAAATTCAAGTTTTCATATATGTTTTTGATACATGCCGCTATACATCTCTTTATATTATAATAATACAACAAAGGAAGGAAACTAATCTCCTAATTTTAGCAGATTATTGACCTGAAAAAGTTGACAAGACTGATTAACAAAGTAAATTCAAATTCTTTCATTGCAGAAACGGCCATTATTAATGAATCAACTTAAGCATTAAAATTCTTTCATAGCAATGCACTAACTTAACATCACGCCAATTAAACAGAAATCTCACTGCACATGGATAACTTCCGATAAAAATCACTTCACCTCTTATCCAAACCATGCTATTATAGTAACAATCCGGAATTTTTCAATTTTAATTAATGGGAAGGTTTAGGTAAAACTTCATCTCTGCAAGTCCAGACTTTTCTACCACCACCGAAGCCACTACACCCAATGGTAATGTTGTCAAAGACGTTGAAGGAAAGGATTCGTTGCGTGAAGGAACAAAGGCAAGGCTCTGTTCAAATACAATTTGTATCGTCTCTTGTCTGATCTGATGGACTCAAATTTTCTCGTCTAGTTTATTTGAAAGAAAAAGTCGAACTCGCTGATAGAGAATCATGTGTGGTTATTTGGTCAAAAGAACTAGAATTGGGTTCACATGAAGTTTATGAATGTATAGCAAATCGTAATGAACTTTTTCTCCATGTTAGCGTAAAGTGTAATCACTCGAAAGAAAGTCTTCCCTCATTATTCATAAAGGCCATATCCCTATTAGGTGCTGAAATGGGTCAGCCATCCACTTGTACAAAAAAAGAATTACACCTTACTTGAAAGAAAAACATACGACATAAAGTCATTAGCTCATTTACACCCAAAAAAAAAAAAAAAAAGGCTATTGACCGTTTTTCCACCAATCAAAATCTGCCAACTGAGATCTATCAAATGGTGTGGCCGCATTTTTCTGTACAAATGGCATTATTCGTACATTTTCTGACCTTGGTTAATGGTTACCCATTTGTTTTGGCCTTAATGTTTGGCAAATCTCTAATAATTCCTGCCACGATTGCCTTTTTGACAGTGGAACGTGGGGAGGGACGTCAAAGAAATCATCAGACCCTAATCCACTTGTGACTTTTGCTCAAGGGATTATCTCTGCATTTGTGAAATTTTGGACTGAATAAGGTTTTTTAGTTCCTGCATTTAGAATCTGGTAGCAGTCGAGTCATTTGCCATATTGTTCCCTATGAGAGATTATTTTGTTGATGTGATGAGGAATCAAACGCCATATTTACTAGATGGCAGAGTGCAACAATTAATATAAATTAAAAACAACCAATTAAAATAATTTTCTTATCCATTTAAGGTTTGGATTTATATTGTAACTTAAAAAATTCAAATTCTTAAGAATGCATGCATACTTTTATTGGTATGATTTTCATCTTTTCTGTGAGCAAGCATTATAAAAGAAAAGAATAAAACTATATAATTTTATGTAAAAAATAAAAAACAAAAAATTATGTAAATGACACAATATTAGACTTGATTAAATGTTAATATATAAAGAGAAATAAATGAGAAAGAAAATAATAAGAAGAAGAAGAAGATAAAAATGAAACAATAGTTGTACTTTTGGAGAAATAAAATTAGTTATAATGAAACAAGTAAAATGTTATACTAATAAAAAGTGTGATTTCTTATTTCTGATTATGGGTATTCTAATCTATTTAACTATTTCTAACGACAAATTTGTATTTTTTTAAAGCAAAATTAGTATTATGAAAATTTAATATATATATATATATATATATATTCAAGAAAAACAATGTATATTCCAAGACAAACCGATTATTACCATTTAATAATTAATTTCGATTGATTTAAATTCTACAAGAACATGAGTCTTTCCCGTTGGGTACAACAATTTTTTGCAACGTCTCTTGGGCTTACGACAATAAATTTATCCAAAACGTTTAAGTAAAATTAGGTGCATAATCATGTAAAAGTAACGATCAAAACATACAAAGAAATCGTTTAAACCATGCAATGGTCATTATAATTTGAGGAAGCATACATCCCAAACTTATCGAAAATCAATGTTTGCTCTCTCGACCTAGTAAATTATAATTTAATTCCTATACACAAAATCTTGAAACAATACCCATAGAATATTATTCTCTTTCCAAATTCCTAAAAACACATTTTGATGCTAGCACCTGTGAATGAGGGCCCTTATCATTGGATTCCAAGGTGGGTCTTTTAAGTTTGTGCTTTCAGAAAAATTTACAACTTCCTCAAATGTCATTTATAGAGCAGGCTTTGCATTTATACTATGATTTCTCCAGGATAAACATAAACACCATGCCAAGCAGATACAGATGACTGCAATCGAAAAAAGTACATCTTATCATGTAATAGTCGACCTTAGTTGGGCAGAAAAATAATGTCCCAGCTTCTAGCATTTGTATCATTAGATAAATTAATGAAGGCCATTAACTATTTGATATTTTGCCACTTATTATTAGATCCTCGTATAGTGTCGTTACTCGGGACTTCATGAAAAGTAGAGAATGGAAACGGTTCATACCTAGTTAAAAAATTCCCCAATGAATCGAAGCACATGAGTAGCAAGTTAGAGAACGTCTTATGATTCTGGAAATCAGCACTGCAACATCTGCTTTATTAAAATAGAAGCACATAAATCCTCAATAACTTGTCGAAATTCCAAGTGATAAGAAAAATGGAGCTGTGTCGGGACCATTCAGCAGAAGAGGAAATAAACAATGATATTATCTTAATTGCAATGCAACAAACACATCAAATATAAAATATTTCAACTTTAAATTGATAACTATTTTCCCTCCATGAATGTGGTGATACCTGCTCTTCTGTAAATTGACATATCATGAAAGATGACTTGCTCGGTGGTTTGATGATCAAAGAGAGCTCTGAACCAATAAAAGAATAAGTCACGGCATTTGAACCCTGAAATAGAAGGCACACAATCTCATAGACGGGCATAGCAAAGTTCACAGTTGCAGAACTGGTTAAAAACGAGAAACCAGAGTGGACATAGTAGTTCCATTAAAGAGCAAATGATTCATAACAACTTGCTGAGAATGCAATTTACCAGTATATTTATACGATTATCTAGCATGAGCTCCAGTGTACTTGCAGAAAATACCATTAGACCCACCAAGCCAGGAGTCTAATGAATTTCGAACAGAATGATGGAAAGGTATTGCCACCTAATTATTTTCAATCACCAACAGGACTAAGCCACCAATCACCTCCTAATTACACATGCCTTGCAGTACTTTACGTACACAGTAGGAAAGTATTAGAGGATCTAAAGTTATATATGAACTGCCAGGAACATTGAATTCCTCAATGTCCTAAGTTTCAGATATAAAACTGAATATTACGTGCGATATCTCTAAACATACATCTGACATCTCTAAAGAAGAAACTTCTCATCAATCGCAAGTCAAAAAGAGTGAAAGGAAATCAAAGCTCCAGCCTAGATCCATGCAGGATAAGAATTCTTAGAGTGAAACATTATTATAGTTAACCTCCTATTAGCATGAAAGTAAAATTATCAACTAATAAGATTTGAACGTACCGCCATTCCCTATTTGTCGTACCCAGCTTCTAACATCAAATGACGATAGCTACGACCCCGAATAAAACGCTGCCACCGATACTGAAGGGAGCTTTTCAAACTCAGGTGCATCTGCTCTTGAACAAGCCTGAAGCACTTACTAAAAGTTAGCACCTGCCACATGACATTTACTTTCTTCTTTTTAAACATTTACTTTTGTTTTTAAATAAATTCAAACCTCGGCATTCCTTACCATCTCACAAGGCATCGCTGAATACCACGAGATATGGGGCGAATAAAGGACGGATCCCGTTGGGCATACAGTAAACCAACCTAAGAAATATTGCAATAGAAATACCATCCATTGAAGATATCCATATGACTTGAACCAAGATGCAAATAAAGTAAACTTGCTCAAAAATTATTAAGTTCACAAGAAAACACCATTTCTAATGTCTGTGATCCATAATCCTCTTAACAACTTCTACATATCTTGTATTCACGGGTTTCTGGCTTTACATTTTAGCCCCCAGAGTAGAGGCTCCTAATATGCAACATCAACACAGTCCTAGAAAAAATTCTACAATCGAATCTTGCAAAGACCTAGCATTTCTTTTGTACAACTAGAAAAGGCTACGGACTACCAACCAGCTAAGAAGTCCAAATCAATAGTTAAATTTAATGTTACGACCTAAAAGATAAATTAATGAAACTTGAGTACCTCGAGCAGTGCAGTGGCTGAAGGATCATCAAAAATCTCAAGACTACAATCAGCAAGATAGTTAACCTGCATTAGCCAAGGAAAATGCTCAAGTTGATCGGCAAAATTAGCCTAATAAAGTAAATGACACCGTGCAAGGTTGTGTCATCTGGGTCAAGAGTTCTATTCATAACGACCATGAGTAAATATTAGGACAAGAACTGCACATGAGAAAAGAGGTAACTAGACAAGTTAGATACCGAGCACTTCACTAAAAATGAGAATTGCATTGATGAAGGCAGTAGTTATTTCACTTTTTATGCAGAATCATTCAAATATATTGAATATCAAAGGCAAAAAAATTTGAATAAGAAATTTAGCAAATATACCATAGAATAAGAGCTAACATATTGTTTATGCAACATTTCCTCGTGGAAAGCAAGTACGAAAACATGTAAAAGGATTAAATTACCCCGAATTCTGCACTGACTAAAGACTGGACAAAGTCCATTAGCTGAACTTTAGCCCATAAATGAAGATTATCTGATTTTGGAGGATGCCTCCACGGAGCCCCAAATCGTAATCTATCTTTTGAGATTTTTCCACTTCGTGCATCAATAGCAAACTTTTGCAGCAGCAGCAATGCTTCATCCATGGCGGGATTAACCACATTTACCTGCAGTACAGAAATAGTTACAAATAAAGACCCAAAAAGCTTGACCACACGAAAATCTGTGCTTTACATTTTGTTGCAAAGAAATAAACATCGACAACAAACTAAGCCTTGTACCCAATAAACTTGGGATCAGGCTGGTCAGCAATGTGAATTATTTTGCTATTACATTCAATTCAATGTTAAATCTACTGAAAAAGCCAAAGAATCAAATCTCTGAATCACTTGAGGCCATGTTAAGTTAGCTCTATACATATTACACAAACTATCTAAATCACCATTTCCTTAATTTTATACTCTAGGGGGCACCTCCACTCAATGGAGTATATCCTTGTTCCTTCTTTTGTTTATTCTAATATGGCACCCCCCTCACGTGAAGGCCATGTTTATTTTTCCACATCAAAGCCTAACACGTGAACAATTTTAATAAACAGCTGACTACAAGACTTGAATCCAAGTCTTTTGTCTACCACATTAACTACTTCAACAATACGCTTAAGCTGTTAGATTTATTTAAATTTTATCACTAACACATTGTGTGTAAATAACATTTTACTTTTGGTATCATGAGTAAGCAATGGACAAAAGAAGTTTATCAAAGGAATCTTGGTGACATTTACCACCATCTATAGGGGGGAGGGGTCAGACAGCAAAAGTTATCAGTCCAATGATGTTCATTGAATTATTATGATTTTTTCGATTTGCAATTAATCAAGCTTAAAAGCCAAAGAATTTGCAAGAGGAATACAGTGCAAGGCCACCTAAAAAATTACACATAATTTATTTCATAAAAGAGATTAAGGACTGGGTCCATAAATAATTAGGCAAAAAAGTGAAAATATGCCAGATTCAATACAAATTGGTCATTCATGCGCCACTCCCTCCATTTCACACGTATAAACGTTCTTCTCATGTTTGTGCCCTGTCTTTCATAATTCAAAGACAGAACCTTGCAGTCTGTCAACTCGCAGACCTTCAATTCTGCCTTTTTTTCTTTTCATTCATTTTCTTCATATCTTCACCCTCTTCCATCAATGCCTAGCACCAAGCTCTACGCTCTTTCTCCATCTGCCCAAATTGCTCAGAAAAATATTCTGAACCTTTTTCCCTCTTCCAAGTCTCTCTTTGGAATTAATTTCAGTACATCAAATTCACCATCTGGCTCGTACCTGACTAAATCCCTCCTAAGAATCTCAACAACAATCAGAGGATAACTTTCCCAACACAAAATGCAGAAGTTACTAAAGCTGCTTCCTATCTATCTTGTATTGCCCCGTAACCTTCATCCTGTGTACCACAAAAGCAATCCAATCCTTCTGCAGTCTCTTCATCCAAGGTTTCATCTTCTTAGTAGTGGAATAATCCTCCTATGATCCCACATCTTAATTACATCCACCCCTCCTACCAGATCCACCTCATTTGCTACATCCATTCATTTATCTGGTAAATGAGAAACCAAATTCTTCTCCCACATCACAAGTTGGCTCTCCCCCACTTATTCGAACAAGCATCAGCTTTTTATTAGTCATCTCAAAAGACATGCAGCAGTTATCACTATCCATTTCCAGTTCGGAATGCTTCAAGTCCAGAAATGTAATACAAATCAGAACCTTCGGCCTGTTGTTAATTAGCACTTTTTTTCAATTGGATATAATAATATAACATCTCCATGCTATTCGTGTTAACCCAATTCCAAATTTTTGCTGACAAGTTGCATTGCACCAACATATATTTCCAGATTTGAAATTTACTTTGCAAGCATATTGACTTCATTCTGGTTAAATGCCACAGCATGAAGTGAGGTGAACCCATCCTGTCCCCATCATAGCCTCAAACCATGACAGAATCACAGATCTATTAGCAATGACACCTCTTCTTCATTCCATTGTGAAAATGACCAACAGGTTTTCCAGGAATATATACCGTCTGCTCCAGTTCCACTTCAATCCCAAAACAATTCTTGAAACTCCGAGCAGTATTTTTGAACTCATCAGGCTCAACTAGAAGTGTTAGGCGGGCCATGGCAGGCCAGAGCATCAAGGACTGCAATTTTTAATTTTCTGGTCTATTTTTATGTAAAAATAATAATAATGAAAAAAAGTAACTATGTGAACCACAAGCTATGGACGGCCTGGGCTGTATCTCAAGTGTCCTTGTTCTATATAACATTAAAAAAGTTCTGAAAAGACCATATCTATTCGCAATTCACAGGCATTTCCATAAGCAAAAATGAAGAAAAGAATGAATGTCAAAATCAAACCCACAAACTTTCCAAGTAAACACAGCAAATGATGTCAGAAACAATACTAAACAAAGAATAAAGTGGAAATTTGATCAAATGCTAGTTGAGAAAGGAAAGGGAAGAAACTGGATTTTGATTCAAAGCTCGAGCTCACTGAGGACTTACTTGCAAATTTGCTAAATATGCATCCACAATATCTTCAAAGGTACTGCCCTTTTCATTTATTTCCCTGCATTCCAAGGCTTCATTTATGCTATGACAAGTAACTATCAAATATGTTTATGCAATATTTATGATAATAAGTTGAAGCAACCGGTATAGATTTACAAGATGTGGCAAAAATATTATTACAAAGCTCAAGCCCTAATCTAATAATGTTCCAATACAATAATCTTAACTGAATCATTATCTAGTCGTACAATTCACGTGCTTCACTTCAATTTCCAATATCAGGAATATTTTGGACTTCCATAATTTTCTGGAATTTGATTATGTTTTAAGTCGTCCAATTTAGTTAGCATTTAGTTTTAATTATTCAAAAGTTTCTTTTTCTTGAAAGGTATTCCAGTTCGAGTTCCTTTTTTTTCCCAGTGTTAAATCTTTAGAAGTTTGATAGCAGACTTGCTTCTCCGCAAGGGTGATTTCTCAGTGGTGATCTAAGGAAATTGTTCATTGTTTCTATTTAAGCATCTAAAACTAAACTCCTTGGAGTACTTAAACAAACTAAAGACACTGAACACATATGATAAGTCATTTAACAACAGGAAAAATGTACAAACTCCATAAAACATACATCTAGTCCTTGTTTGATTCCCATTTTGAGGAAAATAATGCATTTTAAATAGTAGATTGATGGATAATGTGTAGTTAAAAATTAAAGAAAAGTTTTGGATTTGCATGTAATATTATTTTATTGAAGAATGTGTGGTGAGTTTTGAAAAAATAAATTTTTAGAAGAATGAGAATCAAACAAGGACTTATATATACGCATATTAACCAGCAGTATGTAGTGCACAAGCAAGAACTCATCACCAACATTAGTTCATCTGTAATGCTTACTTACTCATGGTAATAATTACTCAGCTTTAGCGCGTAAACTTCAAAAAGATGTCTTGGATTTGGCCCCAACACCTCAACAATCATAGTCCACTGAAGAATGAATAAGCACAATGAATTCTATGTGTCAGTATAACTTATCGTCTTTGTGCAAGTACAGGTGTAAGAGTTTGTGATTGCACCAATTAAGGACCATTGATAATATGCTCATCTAAGGCTCATTATTTTACCCTCTTGACAATATCATCCCCTTGATTAAGGTAAATAAGCTTATAAAATTTAAATATTCTGCTTCCAAAATAATTTTCATTATAGATTCCCAACACCCCTGAAAAAGGAAAAGAAAAAGAAAAGAGGAATGACCAATTGTCCATTAAATTAAAGGCAAAGTCCTAAATGAACCCCTTAATTCAATGTTGTTTCTTATATTTTCATGCTGAAAATATTATATTTTAGGTTTTCTTGAGACGTCTTCTGCTGTACAACTTTAAGGACGCATTCGAAGGGTTCATGGCTTCCTTGGACATCAAAATTTCAAACTCAATGTTGATAAATGGCCAAAAATAACACTTAATTATAAAATTAGAGAAAGGAAAATCTGCCTATAAGCATCATTAATTTCAGACTCAGCAAAAATAAAAGAAATGGGAACGAAAAATGACATGAGAAGAAAGTATAAATTCAATGAGAATTACTCTCAAAATGGACAAACCACTTTGTAGGAAATTGTTGACAGTGGAAAGAACGAACACAACAACTTGAAAGCAATAAAACTTGATCATACCTCAGATTGACTAAAATAGTCATCAACCATGTGCATTTTCGCTTCTGCTGGGGTCCATCCAAATGTCTGCAATTTCAGAAAGCATACATACCAAACTTGTTGAAAACTAAAACTGATTCACAAAACTAAAGAATCATTAATGCCTAATTCCTTTTCCCAACCCCAAGGAAGGCAAAGGCATGCTAATTCAAAATGAAATTAATAGGGGTGGGGGTGTGTATACCCACACAAAAATATAAGAAACTAAAAGAGAGATCAAGCACGAGGTAAAGAGACAGGTATTACCTCACGGGAGATAAAAATATCAGGAAATCCAAAATCCATAAAAGCTCGGTATGAGTAGTAGCTGCAGGATGCTAAACTTTAAAATTCCAAATCTTATCTTATTATTAAAAAGTGACAATAAAAATATAGAGCATCCAAGCAAAAAGTATAACTGGAATTCGGAAATGGGAAGGGAAGGGAAGGTAGTCATAATTATTAAACAAGGTAGAATATTTTTCTCATTTGCTACATATGTCTGAAGCATTATAAAGCAGAAGACACGTCAGCAGATCAGTAATCTCGCTGATGGTCGGACATGATGACCGAATTTTTAATTATTGCCTATCACTTCGATCATCCCTCTCCAAAAGATCATCCATGGTTTGGCAACTCAGAGATACATGTTTCATAGAAAAGTAAAAACAAACTGATCCAGATTTAGAAGAATTAGTGGCGAGGATATACGTATGTCTGAAGCAATAAAAAGCAGAAAGCACGTCCAGCTAGTCATTAATATCGCTGACAGTCAAACATGATGAGCAATTTTTTAAGCATTGCCTACTACCTCTGTAGCACGAACAATTCAACTAAAGTAGCATGCCCATGTCCAACACGTGCCGGAAGTATAAAACTAAATTTATACTATATAAATGAAAAATTTTAAAGAATTTAATCAATATGTCGACGAAATATCATGTTAATACTTTTTTGAAAAATTGAATGTTGACGTGTCCAGCACTCGTGTTCATGACAGTGCTTCATAGCCTACCACTTCAATCATGCCTCTCTACATCCAGTGTTTTGCAACTCAGAGATACATAAGTCATAGAAAAACAAAAACATACTTTCACAAATTGAAACCAGATTTAGTGGAAATAGCGGGGGATATATGAGATATGACATGTCAAGTTAGAGAACTATTGGTGTCCAAGCATAAGTAAATTGCATCCAGTAAAAGGAATGTCAAATTATTTTTACCTTTTTTCCATACAATTCAAAGATTATGCAAAAGATTTCTATTTACCACTAATTGTCTAGATTAGTACAATTTCATCATTTTATTAAAGAAACACCCCAACAAATGAATTGATTGTCGTGAGAATAGGTAAACATAATCGTTTATAATCAATCCACCTCTTTATTACAGTTAGGTAACATGAATACTGTGAGCAGCGTTTTTTCAAAAAAATGTTAAATAAATAAAGTTGGAGTCATAAAGTTGAACTTCTCAATTAGTGCAAACCATGTGGGCATCAAGTTTATATTGTAGAATATATTTTCATAGCATAGCTCATCTAATTATCATGCTGTATAGAACACCAATTCTAATTCTTTTGATAGGAAATGGCAAAATTATTTGCATAAACTTATGATCATTAGAAACAAATCAGAGTATAAGCCATCCTCTGGAAAATTAGAAAAAAAAATGTTCAAACTTCATCAAAAGCTATGTGGCAGTAGCAAGGATGATGACATAGATGAACCTTTAAATTCACCTCTTTTTTACCTTTTTTTCACCTCACAAAAATCAGTATCAAGTACAACCTCGTTTTGCTATGAATTCCACTTGTGACCAATCAAAGATGACAATAAGATTGGTGCACCACGACATACTAGGATCGGTTTCACTCAATAAGAAGTTCATGAAACAAGGTTTCAGCCAAAATTATACATATAACAAAGCCTCATTCGTGAAGATTGATATTGAACCTTCTCCTTGCCAAAGAAAGAAAGGGAAAGAGAAAGAGAAAGAGAAAGAAAAGCTTAAATATCCTAAGCATATTTAAATGCCAAACCAAGCAAAATCTCATGATTAACAATTTCCAGGGCCAAGTAAATGACATCAAAGGTAAAAAAGAATCACCTATCTGATGTTACAAGAAGAACTGGAAGACATCTTTCGTTTGCACCCAGAGCTATTATTCTCCAGATTAGACTGTCATGGTACATGGATCCACATATTGTTGTATCATCCGTAGAAACAGCACACTTCAGAATCTCAATGTTATTCATCACCAGCTTCGGCTAATCAGTTAAATGCAAAAAAATAATAATAATAAATAAATAAGCCATCACACAAAGAAAATAGCACCAATAACCATTGCAAAGTGGTGTACATTGCACAACCATTAGTTTATAATCCAAATCAAGCATCTAAGTTTTGTTTCACCATCCAAAAAAAGCTCCTGAATTTGCATATGCATTGAAAGTCCATCTATAATATCAAAGACAAATAAATACCTATCTTGTTCTAACAAATATCAGAACCTAATTGGTAAAATAAAAGGCAAACTAATTATAAACCCACAATAGAACAGAGGAAATACCCAAAATTGTAAGAATTGGCATTTGACCAGCAAATCCTGCACTGACATGTTATATAGACATTTAACCTTGCATCCAATACATATAAAACTCACCGGAGCTTTTTCACCGGAAAAACCATGATTTATGGGCAATACAATTTGATATATTAAATGTTAAATCATGAGGTTAAAGCTGAAATAATTCACCTAAATTACCTGAAAATAGTCCATTTCAGCAGCTGAAGACAGCAGTTCAAGCAACAAACAAGGCCAATCAGTAGCCGAATTAGCCAAGGACCGTGAAAACCCACCCTTATTGTTCAAATGCTGAATTGCATTCCCCCTCCATTTTTCCTGAATCCTAATCACCTCCTTGGCCAACTTCAGCGCCGCCATGGCGTCTCTATAATATGATCCCTCCTCTACACTCGCCCTCTTATCCAAGAACCCATCTAACTCTTGTTCATTCAATCCAGCAGATAATCTAAAAACCGCCCTGTCCCATAGATTCAATATGGAACCCTTGTTTCCATTATGATTAACTACAGGCATTCTGGATGCTGCAAAATTACTTTCAGTATTTAGAATTTTGTTGAGGGCAGTGACAGGACTGTGCCATTTGGTAAGAGTAGAGAATATTTGGTGGGAGCTAATGGAGCCAAGTTTGATGGCATTTTGAGCCATGGATTCAAGGCAGTTTTCAAGCTGACTTTTCAGAGTTGCCAGTTGAGGAGGTGGGCAAGTGGTCCACGAGGTCCATGGATACGAGTGGCCATACTTTGGATGGTACTCCTTTATCGACTCTGCAAAGTCCACGTAGCCAGTAATATGAGGGTCTGAGTTCCATCTTCCAAGCAGACCTGTAAAGGGGAGAAGTAAAACCATATAAGATTGTGGTTCACAGGATTTATCTTTCACTTGTGAAGGCCATCATTTCAGTCTCACTGAATTGCAATGGAAGGTGATAAACAAATATCCCTCTATTGCTTACTAATATCCAAAAAGTATAAAGAATGTAATGCCCTTCGAACCAAAACAAATTATATAGCATATCAAGTATAGATTACAGAAATCACAATGAAGCTATCACGACCACACTCCATCATATACATGATATAGATATATACGAATATAATTATATCAAATCAATAAAATTGCAAATAGACAAATAAGCTCGAATTAAAGTTGAAACGTTGTAGCAGGTATACACAATTACAGAAACAATATTATAAACAGATATCAAATAAAACACACTATTGATTAATAACTAGAATCCTAAGTTCAGCGAAGTTAAAAATTAAGCCACTATTCGTCCGACCAGAAAATGAATTTCTATTAATTTTTATTTTGATGCAAGTACTGAAATTATTTTATTGTGTATAAACTTCCTAAATAATGGCATTCTTTCAAGTATATTCAAAAATCAAAGTTCACGAGTCTCTGTCTTTTGCATATTCTACACAGATAATGGAAAGTCTCCAATTACTACACTTTAGTATACAAACATATAGAGTGGGTGGGTAGGTTCTTACGTTCGAGAATAAGGGTGGTTTTGCCAACACCGCGGGGGCCGTGAAGGATGAGGGGCTGAGGAACGCGGTGGTGTTGCACGTGGTTGTTAAGGACAGTTTCCAGTAAGGGTCTTGGAATGATTCGCCATGCCTTGGGATTCACCATCGAGTTATAACCAACCGGTGTAGAAGGAGAAATTGCTAGTCTCTACGAGGGTTGGCGGCCGAGAGAGGACGTCGCGACCAAACCAGAGGAGGGCTGGACGGGTACCTTTTAAAATGGCTTGGTCAAAAACCAATTTTTTATTTTGACCATTTTTTTTTTTTTTTATTCACCACATTGACCTATTGTCATTAAAAAGACAATTCTACCCTTATTCATGTTTGATAATTACAAAAGTATATCAATTGTTTAAAAGATAATAATACCCTTAATAGTTTAAATAAATTCTGTTACTTCCATACGTAAATTTCAAAATCAGTTTTGGTTATCAATTTCTCCAATACAATAAAAAAGAATTTTTTCCTTCCATCTGCTAAAATATTAAAATCTCCCAAAATTATCAAAGGTTCAAGAAAGAAACAATACTCATAGTCGGCACTGGAAATTGGTAAGTGTAAATACGTATTTTGAATTTTATTTTAGTTAAATTTACTGTTTGAATCTTTAAATAATTATTTTGAGAAAGGCAGATGAATTTTACAGTATTTAAACACAGATTTATAATTTTTTTATAGCAAAAACAACAAAAAAATTCATCTCTGTATGCATATATTTTACAGGAAAAATTTATAGATGTCTGTAAAATAAATATTTAAACATTATTTCGTTGAAAAAGAGAAAAAATAAAAAATTCGAGCGTAAATTTCAGATGAAACGGACGAAAAAAGTTGGGCCAAATGTTTCCAGCCGGCCCAGTTGTCTGGGTCGGATGGAAACAGCCGGCCCAGTTGTCTGGGCCATAACTGGGCCGGCTGGAAAACAGCCGGCCCAGCCCTTTTTTTTCCCCTTTCAGATTTTAAAATTTATTTGTTCATTAATATATGTTTATTGAAATAAATATTAATGAATATTTAAATACTAATTGAAATAAATATTTTTGAAACAATTAAAATAATCGATGAATTATTTAAAGTATTAAATTAAATTAAATATGAAATGAACAATTTAAAAAATTATATATTAATTCCTTATTTTTAATTTGTGGCAGATATGGCATCAGCATGTGTCCCAATTTGTTACTTTGGTGAATTTCAAATGAATGAAAATGCTCAGTGGGAATGGAAATGGACGAGTGAAGGAGATGGGGTTAAAGCAATTTTTATAACAAGGAGTACATCGTTCGCAGAAATGTACAGTGATATACAAAACATGCTTAACGTCGATCCCTCTCAGTACGATATGGAATTGGGATATTTGTTTCATAAGCATTCAACCATTTCAATTCCACCTATGAAAGTTACTTCCGAAGTGGAAATGAAACATCTAATTAAATTGAACCAAGGCCGGAAGTCGACTCCTATTTGCGTAACTTTATTGGGGAAGAATGTCCACGAGGGTGAACACGAAATTTCAAATGAAGAGAATCGTAATGTAAATGATGTTTGGGATACAATTCAGATTGTTCGTGAAGATGATGTGGTTATTCCCGAAACCACTGCTACTCACCGTGGTCACACTGTTACGCACAGAATTCCATCGATAGTTGAAGACAACGAGAATGAAAATGCATTTACAAACGAGGATTTGATTGCTTTATCTCGTAGGAGACATGAGTCGGGTGGGAGCTCACAGGCCGGACCGAGTACACGGTCCTCTAATTGTTCGCGTGTAGTTCCCGATGATGAAGATGTATATGTCGAGCAACTATTCGAATCAAAGAAAGAATTGCAAGAAGCTGTGCACCGGATTGCTTTAAAACATAACTTCGAGTTTAAAGTGAAGAAATCAAACAAGTCGTTATACACAATTATCTGCGTTGACGACAGTTGCCATTGGCGTTTGCGAGCGACTAAGATGGACACGAATGAGTTCTTTGTAGTCCGTAAGTATGCACGGGAACATACTTGCGAAGTGGGTATTCGTCGAAATAATCATAGGCAGGCCCAATCATGGTTCATTGGTCGAGAAATAATGCACAAGTTCCAGGATCCACGAACGATCTACACACCTTCGGACATCATTAATGATGTTCGACGAGAGTACGGGGTGGTCATGAGCTATCAGAAGGCTGGAAGGCTAAAAAATGTGCATTGGAGGATTTGATGGATTCGGATGAGGAGAGTTATGCTAAATTAGCCAGGTATTTCATTGTTTAAGTGTTTATTTCTTTGTTATTTTAAATTTTAATTATTTAATTTCAATTGTTTATTTATATGTAATTAATTATTTAATTGAATTGTTTATTTTTCTGTTCATTTAATATTTAATATATTATTTAAATTATGATTATTTTTATTTACATTGGCCAGGTATTGCTATAACATGGGAAGAATTAATACTGGGTCGGCATTTTTTATTGAGAAGGATGACGAAAATCGCTTCAAATATTTCTTTATGGCCCTTGGACAATGTGTTTGAGGATTTCGAAATGCAATGCGACCCCTAATCTTAGTCGACGGTTCAACCCTTAAGGCGAGATACGGGGGCAAGTTGATAATTGCAACACGTCAAGATGCGAACATCCAAATTTACCCTCTTGCGTTCGGCAAAGTCGACGGAGAAAATGATGTAGCAATGAGTTGGTTTTTCACGAAGTTGAGGGAAGTAATTGGAGATGTCGAAAATCTTGCATTCGTAACCGATCGAGAGCAGTCAATAATAAATGGTATCGCCGAAGTCTTCCCCGAGGCACATCATGGTTATTGTATGTACCATATACAGGGAAACTTGAAGACCAAGTATCGAGGCAATGGCGTCGTTGCGTTGTTTAGGAGAGCTGCAGAGGCTTACAGTTTTGAAGAGTTTGATAAGTTCATGGTCGAAATAGACAGTAAATCGCATGCTGCATGGGAGTATCTAACAGAGATGGGGATTGAACATTGGGCACGATCACATTTTCCAGGACGTCGATACAACATGATGACGTCGAACAATGCGGAGTCGCTTAACGCTTTATTCAAGAAATATTGAGAGTTACCAATTCTTGCAATGATTGAGAACATTCGTGACAAGTTACAACAGTGGTTTCATGATCGACGTGAAGAATCACAGAGTTGTGCAAGTGTGCTAACCCCGACTCAAGAAGATAAGCTCTTCAAGACTCTAGATGTGGCAAGAAAGGTATATGTAGAACCACTGGATCAATTTCGCTTCTCCGTGAGATGTGCACGTAATTTCAGATACATTGTGGACTTGAATGATAACACGTGCACGTGTAGACGGTTTCAGTTGGAGAGTTTTCCATGTACACATGCAGTGGCAGTGGCTATGCATAGAAGATTACCACCACACACCTTATGCAGTATGTATTACATGACTGATTATTGGAGAGCAGCATATGCGGAAACAATATTTCCTGTACCAAATGAAGTCGAGTGGGAAGTGCCCGACCACATTCTCCCACTGAATAACTTGTTGCCACCAGCAGTTGGACCACGTACTCCTGGACATACACGTACGTCTAGAATACCATCTACCGGAGAGTTTCTCCAGCCTCGTAAGTGCGGTAGGTGCGGTGCAACAGGGCATACTAGAAGATATTGTACAAGTCAGATTCCTCTACATGACAATGTAACGGATGTGTAATTTTAATAACTATTGGCAATGTAATTATTTATAACATTGACATTAATTATATATGCATATTATTTATGCGAATTATTAGATTTAGTATTTTTTTCAAACATTTCATTCATTACATTCATTTGTTATGCATATTATTTATGTTAATTATTTGAAATCGAAACTTTTTCTAGACACTGCATTATACGGTAGGCTATATTGTAAAATAAATATTTAAATATTACATATGCAATCAACATTTTACAATTTTTTCGTAATTACAAATAAATGAATGAACTGTACAATGTTTAAATAAATGTAAAAATATGTACAATTATTTACGGATCCCCATTAAATTCAAATAAATCACATGCTAGTTTATTTCTCCAATTTTGTATCCATGCCTGGTTGATTGCATCAACCTTATGTGCCACACTCAAAAATTCTATGTACTTGATGACGAACATGCCGCAATCACCCCTACAATTAAACAATATTGTATTAGCACATCGAAAATTAGTTAGAAACTAAGATGTAAATGACAGAAAGAAAATTACAAACACTTACGATATTTGTTGCCTCATTGTCGTCGTGTTCCGCACGGTGGCCAATCTATCTTGTACAGTGATGTTCGCTCGTCTAGCTATCATGGGAACGATCACAGACATCGACTATAGATTTTGCTCGAGCTGGTCTTGTGTCAGGCATGAGTGATCGGGGTCGTACACATACATCGTGGAGTCGGCGAATACGATTTCCACTGCAATGTAGTGATGATTCACACATACTGGTACGTACATATGCGTACAGCTATCCCATGGCTTCCCACCGACACTCGGCCACATCCCTACGACCCATTCCATCGTATATTCCGGCACCGTGTACTCGCTACCCATAGCCTGGAGCGACTGGTACTCAATGTCAACGGCACGGATGAACTCGGTGTTCAATATGAGTCTGCTAGGAATGTTGAACGATTTTGGATGTCTTTCAGCACGATCCCGTAGCAAATCCATGCTCAAGTCGATGTGCTACATCAAGAAACACCAATAAAGAAAGGAGTTAATCTATGAATTTCATTCAAAAAATTGATTTTGAACGTACGTAATAAATAACAATATTTTCATTTCACTTACATCGTCGGCGAGCCGAGCCCCCGAAGTGGTGATGTCGTGGAACCACTTGTAAGCATTTGAGATCGTCTTCTCAGCAATCGTGCGGCTGGCCCTGAAAAAATAAGAACAGAATTTTTAGTTATATGAAGTATACATGTGTCAGCGTCTGCGTCTGCGTACTATAGTAATTACATAAAATACAAAACTTACCCAGGCTGCAATGCTCTCCACTCTGTCTCAAAGGCTTTCCACTTGGCGTGGTCCACCTCCCTGAATAAATTCGGGTGCGTCCCGTCGACGAACCTTCTCCTCTTCGCCTCCGCGGTAAAGGGAGAAAGAACGTACTGTGATGGCACCCTTGGCCTCTTGCCGACCACCCGCTCCACCATGTCATCAGCCATCGTCCTCTCCTCATGCGCCTCGGGAATCTCCATCTCCCCAGCCATCGGGACGACCCCCTCGCCCGCTGTCGGGGCCACCTCCTCCGACACAAAGACCACGACCGGTGAGTCTGGCGTCTTCTCCGGTACCACCTCCACCTCCGGTACCCTCTCCTCCTCCGGTGCCCCCTCGACATCCCCGGGTATCCCGTGCACGGGTACCACCTCCAGCTCCAGTACCCTATCCTCCTCCGGTAACCCCCTCGGCATCCCCGGGTATCCCCTGCACGAGTACCACCTCCACCTCCACCTCCACCTCCGACTCCGATGCCCCCTCGACGTCCTCAGGTATCCCCTGCACGGGCACCCCCACCTCCGGTACCCTCTCCTCCTCGGGTACCCCCTCCACATCCTCAGGTATATCCCGCACGGGCACCCCCTCCACCACAGGTATCCTCTCTCGCTCCTCCATCCCCATCGTGTCATCTAAAAATGAATCAAATGCAACAACTGATGGCCACGATGAGTCAACATACCCCATCTGACCCCCTCCTCCCTGATAACCACCGACCCCTCCGTCACCCCCTCCGTCCTGATAACCACCAGTCCCTCCGTCTCGATAGCCACTAGTCCCTCCGTCACCCCCTCCGTCCTGATAGTGACCTGTCCCTCCGCTACCTCCTCCATCTCGATAATCGCTCGTCCCACGCAGGCCTGCTATGTCACCCCGTATCGCTACAACCTCAGCATGGAGGTCTCCTAATCCAGCTCGTAACATCGCGACATCATATCGTAACTGTGCCATGTCCCCGAACTCAGCTCATAGTGTCACGACATTATCCCGTAACTCTGCCATGTCTCCTCTCATCTCCATCAGGAGGTCGAACAAATCAATCGTCGAAGCACGGGGACTAGGTGCAGGAGGCGATACTGGACGGCCCTCCTGAAAAAATAACTATTACAAATGAATAATCTAAGAAATAAAATAAAACGACAATCGAAGAATTATTTTTAAGTAACGTACTCTATCTCGATCAACGCTGGACTCAGGCATCTGAACCTCTGGCGTAGCTGGACGTGATCTTCTCACCGGAGGTGACATCCTCGCTGGACGTGCTCTCCTCGGTGGAGGTGATATCCTCAACGGAGGTAATACTGAACGATCCTCCTGAAAAAATAAATATTACAAGTGAAGCACTTAATTACAAGATCGAAGCGATATTCAACAAATCCTGTACAGTGACATACCCTATCTCGATCCATCCTGGACTCAGGCATCTGATCGTCATGCGCAGTACGAAGAGGCAATTCGCGAATATAAAACTGACTCTCCTCCTCGATCGACGGTGCCAATTCAGTGAGAACTTCAAGCTGTCATTTTCATATGTCACTGTTAATGACTATGTATTCAGATTGTAAAAGGACGTACAATATAAATAACAATTGTATAATACGTACCTTGGGATCGTCGAGGAGAGCCGATAACTGTCTGGCAAGCGGCTTGTCTTGTGCTCGCCAGTGATGCATCCGAGGATAGCGTATCTCTCCTCTCCTCGCATACCGACTGGCCAAGATGGGGACAGTCTCGTACACCCATATCTGAAACAATTACAATTATTATGTATAGAATTCAATAAAAAAAGTGTAGGTAATTCATTAACTTAAACATATACCTGCAGCGCCAACGGCAGTCCATATGCATCGTACTTGCGCTCGGGCTTATCCCCCTTTGGCATTGAAAACCCCCTCCTAAACACGCGTAATGTATCAAGAAAACATCTCCAACCCCATGGGTAGTTGTTGAAGGCATCAATATCTTCAACAACCTCCAAATGAAAAATGTTAATCGATGTCTTCTTGTGATGACACCGGAGTATGCTCTCGATGATAAGCACCAATCCTAACTTCAACCTATCAGACATCCGATCACATCTCCTTAATGCATCTCCTAGCTGTGCTAGAGTAACCGTCGTCTGTCCATGAAAATATTCGTTCAACAGCCTCCTGTTCCTCGGAACACAGGCCCTCGTCTCTGCATCATCCGTACATCGCAGTCCAGTGACGAGAGCAAACTCAAATATAGAGAACGTGGCTACCTTGCCCCCAAGATCAAAATGGAGGGCGTCTCCGTCAACTGGCTTCAGCAAGCGACATAACAGGGCATCCAGGCCCAGACCACTGTACGTCACGCAACGAATACAATGGCCATAAGCATGATCGACGTAATATATCTGCGTGATCGTCGTCCAGCAAATCCAATACAAAAGCGAAGCTGGTAAAGTTACAATTCGAGGTAACTTTAC